CCAGTGCCACTCAGGAGTGTCAAGGTCATCTCCATGACTGAACCCTTCTGTAGTTCTATTTAGAGAAAGAAATTTTTTAAAAAAAGGCAGATTAGTATTGGCATCTCCTCAAGCATTCTTCTGTGTTTACTTTTTGCAGACACCGAAGCCTTCCAATTCAATGTTCTCTACACAATTTAAGGTCAAGTCTGTCCATCTTATTCATGCTGCCTAGGGAATTATTATCTGTTTTCTATTGATCTAAAATACTTAAGGTGCTGCAAAGCCAAACTAAAATTCTCCCAGATCTTCTGAGTTTTTGCAGCAGGTCAGGCAGCATCTGAGAACGTGTTAACGTTCTGTGTGAGTGAGCCATAGAGCCAAAAGAGGATAAAGTATGGAGGATATTCATTTCAAAGTTGAGAATCTTAAAATCAAGCTGTTGTTAGACTGGGAACAGTTCAATGATGGGGGTCTGGGCTTGGTAAGAATTTGGGTACAGTTGGTACAAATTTTGATCAGCTCAACGTGAAATAACGTGGAGATTATGAATGGCCAGGTTCAATTTCAGAGAGTGGCAACAGAGGAATGATGGAATAAATAGCTAGGGAATGGGTTTGTTTTTTTAACAGACATAGAACACAGCAGCTCAGATCTTGACATCACAATTTTGAGGAAATTTCTGCTCATCCAAAACCAGATGTCAGAAAAGCAGTGTGATAGGTTATGGGGAATGGAAAATTTAAGAAAGATGGACTTGAGCTAGAGCTGGATGAGCTTCATGTATTTGTGGAACCTGACACCTCTTGCTCCTTGGGGCAGCATGTAACTGAGAAAAAAACTGGTTGGGTGACCAGGAGATATGCTGGGGAGACTCTGGAAGTAACAGCATGGAAGTGGGTAGAAAAGCCATGCTGAATTAAAAATAAGATAATTTTGGAAAATATTCAGTTGGGTTTGGAGTTGAAAGTAGGAAGTTAATGAAAACAGAAAATACTATAAATAATGCAGCAGGTTGATGACCTTCAGAGAAAGAAATGACAAACATTAAATGAAAGCAAAACATAAAATATCATAGCAACATACAATCTAAAACAAAAATATTCAGCATGTCCACTGTATGGAAGAGAAAGACGATAGGGGTATCCTTTCAGTTACATGATTTTTCATTGAGAGCAAACTTCTTCAAGGAAGAAACTGGAGCCTAAAATGTTTTTCACTCAATTTTGTCAGAGTTACCTGGAGTTGTAGCAGTTGTAGTGTTCAGCATGGAGGATGCAAGTTTTCTAATTCTACATCTAAGCGTTGCCAAAATTCCTTTCAATCCTGTTCACAGTGATTTGGAATTAAAGTATTCTTGCTCCTTGTAACTTGGACTCTACTTATCTGTGTGTTTCTCCAATGGCAGGCTTTGTTTAAATGTGAACAAAGTCGAGGCAGTATGTTTACCTGTTAAATGTTAAAATGAGATTATGCAATTCCCGGAATGGGCTGTAGCTTACTGCCCAGAAATCACCAACTCTGTCTATAAACTGAAATTAAAAGCAAAATGCAGTTGCCTGTTTGAGTCTCAAAAATGTCTCTTATATGAGTGGATCAAGTGGAAACATGTTTTCAATTAACTAAGATAACATTTCAGGTAAGATAACTT